GATGAGGCTGAGAGAGCAGTGGTGAAGGGGCCATGTATGGCCCCTGGAGGGCAGGGGACATACTGGGTTTTGATGAGGTGGCACAGGGGACTCTCCTGAGCCCTGTGCAGTTTAACACCTGTATCCATGATGTGGAGGAGGCAACTCTCACCACATTTTTCAATGATACTAATTTGAGAGGACCATTCCTGTGCCTTAGGGATGTCTTTCAGGGGAAACCTGACAGGCGGAAGGACTGTCCTGTCAGGAACTTCATGAAATAGACAAAGGACAAAGACCAGGTCCTGCACCTGGGATAGACTGACACCCTGCAGTGGCAGGGGAAGGGGACTGCCTGGCTGGGGATTAGCCCTGCGTAAAAGGCCCTGGTGGTGTAGGGGACAGAAGGCAAAACAAAATCCAGTAGCGTGACACAGGTGGCCAGCAGTGTCCTGCAGTGTGTAAAGAGGAGCCTCGCCAAAAGAGTGAGGGAAGTGATTGTCTCCCCCTGCTCATCATTTGTTAGGCCACCAGTACACTACTGTGTCCATTTCTGGGCCCCTGGTTCAAGTGTTCTGGCTCTTGCTGGGAGGGGGTTAACTTCCTTCATAGCAGCCCCCATGGTGCTATGTTTTGCATTTGTGCCTAAAACACTGTTGATAACACACCAGTCTTTTGGCTGAGCAGTGTTTGGACAGCATCAAGGGCTTCTCTGTTTCTCACTCTGCTCTCCCCCAGTGAGTAGGCTGCGGGTGGGCAAGAAGTTGGCGGGGGGACACAGCCAGGACAGCTGACCCTGACTGATCAGAAGGATATTCCATACCATATGGCATCATGCTCAGCAATAAAAGCTGGGGCAGAGGAAGAAGAAGGAGGAGTTTTTTGTCGTTCAAGGTGTCTATTGCTGGGAGACTGGCTGGGCGTCAGTGTGCTTGTGGGAGGTGGTAAGTGATTTCCTTTGTGTCGCTTGTTGGTTTTAGTTTATGTTTGTTTTTATCTTTTTTCTTTCCCTTATTATCTGCTTTTATCTCAACACACAAGCTGCACAACTCCATGCAGCAGTATGGGTAGAGACCTGGCCAGCTAAGGAGTCCGTGAGGAGAAAGACCTGTGCACCATGATGATGCCATACGAGCCAGTGGGCCTTACATTTCAAAAGGAAAGTGGAGAAACTGGAGAGAGTCTGGAGAAGGTCTGCCAAGATGGAGTGAGGGGGCTAAAGCACGAGCTGTGAGGAGGGTCTGAGGGAACTAGGCCTCTCTAGGCTGCTAAAGGAGGCAGGGGGCAACCTAGTAAGAGCCTAAACCTACCTGGAGAGATGATGGAATGGAGCCAAGCTCTCTTCTGCAGTGGCCAATGATATGACAGAGGGAACAGACACAAATTGCCTCTTGGAAGCTTTAGGCTGAGCCTTAGAAAAAATAAAATGGCCTAGGAGGAGCGTTGCTCTGATCTCCACCTTTGGAGCTCTCCTTTGCTCCGCAAAGTCACAACCAGCCTGGAGGCTGGACTAGAGACTCAGCAGTCTGTTTCCCACCAGTCATTCCATGAGCCTGTGCCTTGCCCACAGGTCCTGTGAGAAAATATTAAGCTGGAGGTGAGGGTCTCTACATCATACACTCATAGTACAATTCAAGGTAGAAGGGAGCTCAGGACATCTCAAGTCCAACACTCAGCAAAAAGCAGGGCAATCTCTGAGGTCAGACCAGCTTACTCAGTAAATGTCAGCATCCACAGAGAAAGTTTATACATGAACCAGGCATCTAAGCCACCATTATGGAAATGGAGACGAAGTGTTTGACCAGCTCCCTGAACACAGCTATGAGGATACCATGCCTCCTGAGATTCCTGGGAACATCCACCATCTTGTCCAGAGGAGTGGGATCTTTCTGCAAGTTTCCTGGCGTATCTCCAGACCATGGGGTGCTTTAGGCTGTAAACAGAATTGGAAGAAAGCCTCTGACTTGGGTACTATCAACTTAACTGCTACAAGAGAGGGAGATGGAGGGATCTCAGCATTTCCAGGTTCGGTTCCGGCGTTTAAGGCTTCGGAGAAAGGAGCTGAAGTTAACAGTTTTGAACTAGCCTAGCCTTTAGACAATTTTACATGCGAGGGCTCTGCTCTCCCCTTTCAATCATTGGCACCCAGAAACCTCACCTGCTTTTCCTTACTCTCCTCCCAAAAACCTGACAAAGTGATGGGAGGAAAGACAGCAGAAAGGCCCTAGGCCTCTGTGAATCAGCTGGTGTCTGGCATCTGGAGGGTGGTGGTGTCATTTCATTGGACACGCCATAAAGAATCAAGCTGGGGAGTGACTCTGCAAGTCTGAATCAACAAGGTCCATGGACAGGCAAGGCTGTGTCTATGACTGTGTCTGGAGACCTGTACAGCAGCATAGATCAAGCTGAGGCTGAAACTCAGGCCTGGGCTTCAATGGTCTCCTGGGCTTATGGACAGAGATGCAGGTGGAAGCCCCAGGTGATGCTGCTCAGGGCCATGAAGGCCTATGGATGCTCTCAGGGCCCTGACACTGCCATATTAGATGCCACCTGCCAGTGCCCCCACTAGGCCAAATTCTCATTCCCTGATGTCCAGGGTCTGCCCTCTCCTACTGTCCTTCCCCATGTCCCTAGGGATCTGGGAGACCGCAATTTCATGGTCACTACGGCCAAGGCTGACACATCCTTGACCAGCTCTTCCTCCTTTGGGAGTACCAGATCCAGGTGAGCAGAAGACTGGGTGGCCCATTTAGAAGCTGACCCACACACAAGCACCATCTATACTTTTGTGTCCCATAGAGACCCTCCATATATCTAAGCTGCCCTGACATCACACAATGCATGCCCCACTTCTCATTTTCCCTGTCAGTCTCTCCTAAAGAAGTTGTGTCTCCATCCACCAAATAAGCTGTGGGAGTTGTCCTTCCCCACCTCAGCTCTTATTCTACTCATGTCACAGCTCTTGTGATGGCACATGGGGCTCTTGCTGTCTGTGCCCCAGGCTGTGGGTTTTGGTGCCCATTTGGGCTGCAGCACCTCAGAGGAGGCACCAGGGCCAAGGGCAGACTTCTCACATGGAAACCTGGTACAAAAAGATTGGACCCCTTGTGTGGAAAGGCTTTGTTTCCCAGCAGAGGCATGCTGAAGTGGATGGCAGGTGGCAACATAATTATCATAGAATCATAGAATCATTAAGGTTGGAAAAGACCTCTAAGATCGTCAAGTCCAACCATCAACTCAACACCACCATGCCCACTAAACCATGTCCCTAAGTGCCTCATCTACACGTCTTTTAAATACTTCCAGGGATGGTGACTCAACCACTTCCCTGGGCAGCC